AGGGCACGGTGCTGTCCCAGGGACAACTCACCGCCCACTGGGACTCCAAGGTCTTTCTCCACGAGGCTGACAACGAAAGCATTCCTCACACAAGCACCAAGAATTTCATTTGTGTTTTGCAATTTCCAAGTCACACCTGTGAGCAGAACACCCTGCCTTGGGAAGTGCAAAACCAACAAGCGCTACACCAGCCCTGCAGCAGCAGGTCTTCTTGTACCTTGAGACTCGATCGCAGCGTCTCCGAAAAGCCCGCCCGCTCCTCCTTGTTGAAGTTGATCCAGGTTTCTATGGCGACTGTTGGATTCTGAGAACACGGGACGCCATCTGCAGTTTGCGGACAGAAAGGCATTTATGATATCGAGACACAGGTGCACTCGGGAACATCCTTTTCCTGCAACTCCTTCCCCTCACTCCTACCGCAAATCCTACTTTCTAGAGAGGAAAAAGAGATAGAGAGGCTTATAAATTTTGGCAGGCACGATCAGCACTGCCAGCCAGACATCTACATGAAGTTAGTTTGGATCAGTGTCAGAAGACAGAGCTGCCAGATCTTAAGCAGTTTGGATGAGTTTTCACAAAGGAACCTATGTCCAAGGAAGGAAGGAGCACTCACGTGTTTTGTGACGATGAATTATCTATTTTCTTATTTAAGCATTTAGGCTAAGTTTCTCTTATTTGAGAATCTCAGCAGCTGCCTTTCCAAGTTGGTCCTGGAAGCCTCCCTAGCAAAAGTCATCTGCAGAAGTTTTCCCGGTCTGAGCACTGTCAGACCTTGAGGTGAGACTGAGCATTCGGTGTTGCTGCCATCCTCGTAACACTTGGAAATCCCCAGTGAGCTACTACAGCTTTCCTCAGCCGCGTGACACTCACCAGACGGCAGCAGGTTTCAATTTGTTTCCAGACACGATTGGAAGTTTGGTTATGCCACAAACTACTGCAGCAGCAGCAGCAGGACATCACCCAGAATATTTCAGGTATTTACCCTCAGTTGGAAATCCAACAATCAGACCTGTATTTGCTGAGAGGCTTCCTTATGAAGGCTCTCTGATTTTGTAGTCTACTCTCATGACAAACCCCGAATTCAGTGATGCTGAAGGCACCAGACAAAATCTGACACTTTTCTCTGTATTGAAAGGGAGGTAAAATAAACTGCTTATTAGTAAAAAGGACTTCCATATGCTGTCCATCAAATGTAGTTAAATGGAAAAACGTTTTTTGAAATGGGGCCTAGACTGCAACAAAAGGCAAGCTTAATAAATTACTATTTCAATAAGTTAACTTTAATCTTTGCCACTAATAGCTCCCTCTATTTAATTCTCCATTAACTCAACAACAATGCAGTAAATACAAAAGGAGAAAAAACCTGCATACTAGCGGTAGGAGTATATTTCAGATTTTAATCCATTTTATGAGCTAAGTTTTGGCATAAATATTGAGTACTGTGATTCTATATAGTGAAATGGACGGAATCATTCTAATTTAGGACCACAAGCACTAAAGACCATGGTCCTAGAACTATGGAATCCCTAGGAAGTTATGAGTGATTGACTTCCACAGCTTTATTTCATGATTTTAGGCATTTCTTTTTTATTAATGAACAGACAAGTTAGTTTCAAAACTTTAGCTAGATAGTAACCAAAATTACTCTAATTCTGTCATAGTTTTTTGTGCTATCAGTACATACTCCTAATAAGTTTCTGACTGTGAAATTTTTTAGGTGCAATAGAGACAATACAATGCAGTATCTGTAAAGGCTCTCCTACGCATACCATCAACTTTAAAGGCTATTTTGAATTCTTACAGACAGATCTGCCAGTACTCCAAAGAAGCCAGTCAGGTTTGTTGTCGTGCCAGCGTATAAAACACAGGACACGCAAAGTGCAGTTATTTAATCTTTAGCAAAATGATCAAATTAAAGCAAGAAAGGGGCAATCCCTCCGGCCCCAAGTCAAACACATGTGAATGTGTGAGGAGCTTCTACGGTCTTCCTCAGCGACACCTAAGCGCACAAAAATGGAGCTGCCACCGCAGCAGCGCGGAGAGGTTTTCGAGTACTGGCTGCACCTGCGAGGGCAGCGGGGAGTTGTTCGGGGTTGGTGGCAGTCGAAATAAAATTGTTGATGTGTTTGCACACCCTTCAAAACACTGAGTCACTGCAGCCATTACTGTGGAAGGGCAAGTACTGTAATTACCGCGTTACCTCAGATGTTACAAGGCCTCTATTTCAGTCAGCTGCAAGCCTAGCCCAAATAATCCTGGCAACTGTACACAACTGTTAGTAACACTAACAGAGTCTAAAAATAAGGCTTGTGTTCAAGCCTTCTTACAAAGTAGTCGCACTACTATGTTAAATGACTATGAACAAAAGAATAAGAAGACTTTCCTAACATGTTCATTTCTGGTAAGGCTTCTACGTTTTACTTTTAATGCAACCAAAAACGCAATGAATTGTTAAAAGTTACTAAGTTACAGTTAAAAAACCTGTAATACTTCTGACCTGCGTGCTCAGGGACCGCTGGGAGTTACCAGTATCATCTGTGTCCCTTTTCTACAGCTTAGATGCTTCATGGCCAGTAAGAATTCACAAGGTTTTTTTCCCCAATTAAGTTATCGAGAATGTTTTGCTTTAGCTTAGCTAAGCCTCTGAATAGCCAGTGATTAAGAAAGCTTGGCTCTTCCCAGCTATTTTGTTCAATCCCCGACAGAGCCCCTGAAAGTCTCTTTTCTACGTTCACGCCCTGGCTCGCCTCAAGAGCTCCTTACCCGTAAGGATGTCTGTCAGCAGGCGGAGAGGCAGGTGCAGGAACTCCTCGGTGTCTTGCAGCTGAGACAAGTGTGACTTTGCACAGTGTTTGGCAGCTGTGTAGAGCTCCACATCACTGTGCTGATCTGCCAACCACATGACCTGCAGACAGTTCCTGACCTGCACCGTACGGGCCAGAAAACGGGAGCACTCCTCAAAAAGCGCTGTCAGCTGGTACATGTCTGCCACTTCGTAGGTCTCCTGCAACTCCTCCGCCCTCAGCTTCACAGTCCCGTGATAAATATAGTCCACAAGGAGCTGAAAGACACTCTCGCTAACGTCCTGCAGCTCAATCACCCGGTTGTGGGCCTCTTTGAGGTTGGACGTGAACATGGAACGGAAAAAACAGCTCTGAGCCGAGAGGACCAGACGGTGCAGCTGGAATTCTTTGCCTTCCACTGAGATCGTAACATCAGCAAAGAGCTCATCCTCCAAGCACAATTTCATAATACCCTGGGCCACGCGGCCCGAGTGGGAGCGGTCGGTGAAGGTGTAGTTCACAAAATAGTTTTCTTCTGCAGAGGAGCCTCCAGTCTCCTCTGACGAGTCCATGGTGCTGCACTGATCAGACCTCCAGCAATCTGTAAAATCAGAATAATGACATGACTTTCCACTGGCAAGACTATGCAGTACTTCAGGGTACAAGGGAAAATCAAGCATATTTGTAACAGGACAGCATATTTTAGCCTAAACGTAAATAGCGCAGCCAGAAACTTCTGCTTGAGCTTCAGAATCTCAAAGGATAAATGAGAAGTTAGCATAATTAAAATTATAATATAGACCAAGCTCCCAGTGCAGCGAGCGTCACATACCAGCAAGAGCTGGGAAACGCGCTCCTCTTTCCACCGCTCATTTCACTAACCCAGAGAAACGCAGCAACAGTAATTCAAGTGGAAAGCCCAGCAACCACCCTAGGGAGCTCACAAAGCCAAAAGAACGTGGCAGCACCATAGCTGGGAGTTGTGGTTTCGGCTGAGATAGAGTCAGTCTTCTTCCTACTTCATTTTGGATTTAGTGTGAGAGTAACACCGGTAACACAGTGTTTTAGTTGTTCTTCAGTCGTGTTCATCCTAAATTAAGAATTTTTCTGTTTCCTGTGCTCTGCCAGCAAGCAGCGTCACTAGGAGCCGGGAGGGGACACAGGTAGGAGAGCTGAGCCAAACTGACCAAAGGCATATTCCACACCACGGAACATCACGCCCAGTATATGAACTGGGGGGAGCTGGCCAGGAGGGTGGATCACTGCTCGGGGCATTGGTCAGCGGGTGGTGAATCACTCATCTTTTCTCTGCCTTTATTTCCCTCTCTCTTTTTGCTACATTCATTATTATTGCTGTTAAACTGTTCTTAACCCATGAGTTTTTACTTTTTTTTTCCTTCCAATTCTCCTCCCCAGCCCAGCAGGGAGGGGGCAGGAGTGAGCAAGTGGCTGCACGGTGCTTAGTTGCCAGCTGGGGTTAAACTCCAACACTGGGCTGGATGGAAAAAGGACGGCAGTATCATGCTAGTAAAGAGTAGAGACAGCAGCTCGTGTCATCAGGAGGAGTTAATCACCATCCAAACCCAACATAAGGAATCTACGCAGCAGTAAGGTGAACTTATTTTTACCAAAAAGATGTGCACGAAGTCTGCCAGACAGTCCTTCGGGCTAACCGACTGAGACAACTGGTGGTTATACTTGGTTTGTGAACGTGCCAGACACTTTCAGCACGCAAAATAACCTGTTAGACGCCGTTAGGAGAACTCATTTTAAAAGATAACACCTCTTGGTCAGTACCAGAGACTTTTCGCAGAGCTCCAAGCAGTCTGTGAGCTGAAAAGGCTTCTAAACCAGAGAAGGACTGATGTAGGGAAGAGCTCTTTTTTTCCCCCACGGCTCTTGACAGCATTAGGAGCAAACAGACACGCACTCGCATTCATGTTAAACTTATTTTTTACACCTCAACTGTCAGCCGTGGTGGCTGCTATCACAAATTTCTTCAATTAATACTGAGTGTGACTTCCAGTACACTGTTTCCCGGAGATGGGATTTTTCTCCAGGACATTTGCATTTACTCTTCCACGCTTTGTTCCGTCAAACACACGCTTCGTTAGAATAGCTCTGCTCAACACAGGCGAGCCTCTTAGAGTCCTTTGCTCAAGTTCTGCTCAGAAGCAGTATCTACCACCCTAATTGCCTGGACCAGTCTGTCTGAGCACGTGCGTCTGAGCACGGTGGATCTCACGGGAGTGCCCACCCTGGAGAACCTGCGCAAGGGCGTCGAGTTTGTGCTAAAGCACCGAGCGCACGGCAGCAGCGTCTACGTGCACTGCAAGGCAGGGCGATCCCGCAGTGCCACCATGGTGGCGGCGTATTTAATTCAAGTAAGGAGGGTTCCATGCTCAATGGGGTTTACTTTCATACAGTCTGGGCAAATCACAGAATCACAGAATG